AAAAAAAGAGAAAAACAAAAAATAGAGCTAGAAGAAAATTGTTGTTATTGTTCACGACGATGTTGATATCAATGATGTTGATGATGATGATGATGATGATGACGAGATTGATGACGACGACGATAATGAAAATAATGTGTACGATCGAATAAATCGTGACGTAAAGATCGATCAAATTCTTGTTGGAGCGTTGAATTTTTGACGCCAATAATTAATGACGAGCCGACGATTTTTATATGCCGATAGGACATATGATGTTGGCGAAGAATTTTTTTTATTGACGACATGATGAATCGATGGTAAACGCGACGAACTAAAATATGAAAATATCGATGTAACCGATGTATATAGTTACGTTTTCGATTTCGTCGTTGTCGTGCTGCATCAGATCGATGTTGATGTTTTCTACATATTGCCGGTGGTGCTGTTGCTTCATCATCAGTGACATCAACAACCATATAATGGTTGTTAACGAGTAAGTCATCACCATGTAATGCATCATTGTTAACCGGTACATGAACAACATCATTACATTGAACCAGTTGATTAAAATATATTTCATCATCGGATGAAATATCCTCTACGTCTGGATCATTACATCGTAATATTGTATTTAATGTTTGCATGTTGATGTTCTTAATTTTTTTATTTTTTGATGTTGGTAATGGTGGAAGTTTAATTGAATCAAATGCGACAAACATTTGATTCATTTTCCGAAGTTTAATTTGTTCAAAGGTCCATCGTTCAGTAATAGGCCGTATTAACAATGTAACAGCCATAACATCATGTGTAGCGTAATGAATCATATTCGTACGAGTAACATGTGATAACGATGAATGACGTGATGTTAAACTTGATGACCAATGACTTAATCGGCACGATTTGTCTAAAAATAAATTACATGCATACTTAATTGAATTCTGAAGAGACCAGAGTTCATTAATTTTGTATGGTGATGGTGGATGACAATCACATGATAGATGTTGATTATGTTGTTGGATATGTTCATTATCATTAATCTTATCATTTCGATAAGACAGGCGCTGGACCCAGCACTGGGTCCGTGCCCATGTATACCACGTTGAGAAATGTGGTTGAATATCGATTAACATTGCTGCAATTGGTAAAACAAGAAATTCTTTTGCTGGTTCAAGTTCCAATTGCATATTGCCCCAAGAATAAATTTCGTTGCCTGATCTAAAAATTATTTGAAACAATTGAAGAATATTTGCATACTTTTGTGAATTTCGATCGGGCAAATGCTTCAACTCGAATAACATTACAATCGATGGTGGTGCAATTGGTATTGAGTTCATTTGTATTAATGATAATTGATTATTTGCTCTTTCAGATTCCGTATCAATCGAATATTGTTTGCATAAATTGACATGATTCAATAATTTGTTTATTGTATTCGATGATGTTTCATTATTGATAAATACAATTTCATAATCTGACGAGTGAACATTAAATGTTGAATATTTTGCATGTGGTTGACCAATTTGATTCGATTTACTCGTTGTTTTTGGTGAAGAATAATGTTGGGATTGCTGTACCTGATTACTATTAGTTGTCGAATACTGTGAACGATGTTGTTGATGCGATGGTGAACGACGAGATGAAGAATGATGTGAACGATGAGAAGAAGAATGATGTGAACGAGATCGTGAACGACGAGATGACGAATGATGTAAATAACTTGATTTCGACATGACGATACTTTAATAACTAAATGAACAAATATAATATGAAAATGGTTAATAAATAGATGAATAGCATGAATAAGTAATTATACGACAAAGCTCATAAATAATAAATAAAATAAAGGACATTCATTTGAAGACGATATTGACCAATAGCCATTGGTCATTCATTTGTGAACAACCTTTAATGGTTATACAATTTTAACTACAGATGTCGTCAACACAAGGGCGAATTAACAATTATTCGAATTGGTTTATTCGGAAACGTTCCTTCCAAGAAAGTTTCCATCGATGATTCATCATTCTTTTTTTTTATTTTTTTATTTGAAATATATCATTATTAATTTTCCATTTGGAGTTGATGATAAAATTGATTTTTAATGCGCGCATTTTAAAAGATCAATTAATCCAATTCATAAATGATAAATGTGAATTCCTATCAATCGCTGCAGACGTTTAATTTGGTCTAACATAAATATCATTAAACTAATTCATTTCCAACATTAATAAGAAATATTTAATAATCAGTAATGGAGAAAAAAAACGATGGGAAAAAATTAATAAAGATAGTAATATAATGTCAATAAATTTGGTGTTGCTAATTTTTATTTTGATTATTATTATTTAAAGAGATGTCTTGTGTGTAATTTAATTTTGAATATAAATAGGTCTAATATCATTTATATGCACTTGTGTTTCAACATGAGTTGTTTCATCTCGAACAACATAAACAGGATGTTGTGCACAAATAATATTTTGTGGTGTAATTGAAAATTTTGGTTCTAATTTATTTTGTAATCCATGTCTTCTAATTAAAACACGATCATTTATTGCATAATGAGGATCAGGACGTAATTTGTCATACTGAACTTTATACTGCTGTTGTTTTTGAATAATATTGTCACGAGCATATCCATGTATCAATTTCATACTTTTCTTCAATTGTTCATAATAATCACTTGGTTTACGAAATGTAAATGAAGATAATCTTCCATCGGTAGGCAATCTTGGTTCTCGACCATATAATAATTGAAATGGTGAATATTGAGTTGTGGAATGTGTCCCTGTATTGTATGCAAATACTACAGGTGACAGAAATTCATCCCAATTGTTGTGCTCTTTGTCCTGAAGTTTAGCGATTTGAGGTACGAATGTTGCATTAAACCTCTCTATCATTCCATTCGATTGAGGATGGTATGTGGTTGAATAGGTATGATCATATCCAATCAATTTCGACATTGCGTTCATTAATTGATTGTGGAAGTGCGTTCCTTGATCTGATCGTATTACTGCTGGTACCCCATACTTGCAAATGAATGCATTAAATAATGCTTCAGCAGTAGTCTTAGCTGAGCAATCAGGTACAGCAACAGCAACGACCCATCTTGTGAAGTAATCAGTAAGGCATAATACATATTGATTACCACGTGGAGTTGGTTTAAATGGACCACAATAATCCATACCAATTAATTGAAATGGTCCTTCAGGTGGAGGAATTGGTTGTAATCGACCAGGTTTCTTTGTTCTACTAATATTATATTGCTGGCACAGTAAACATGATTGTATATATTGAATGATCGATTGTTTCATGTTTGGCCACCAATACTTGTTTTTAATTTTTAAATACGTTCGTTGAACCCCAAAATGACCACTGAGAGGATCCCCATGATAAACTTGTAAAAGATCATTTATCATCGATGAAGGTAAATAAATTAATTTTTTCTTCGTAGTACAACCTTCACGCATAATCATTAACCTATATAATAAACCATTTTTGAATTCATAAGAACTGTTTACTGAACCTTTCAGAACTTCTGCGATTTTTTGGTGAATAGTCGAATCTTTTCCTTGTTCAATCTTTAATTGTTCTATATCCAATGAATTATTTGCAATCATTTGTGATGAATCTTCTTTCATCTGATCAGCTTCTTCGTCTATTGGTGATACTGTTGTCTTATTTCGATTTGTTAGTGTTGTTGTTGAATTTTGATTTCGTTCTGATTGTAATTGTTTCGTTTTAGATCTTGTTACAATAGCTCCAACTAGTGGAGGAATTTCATCAGGAACACATCCTCTAACGGTCGGTTCCCCTTTAATTCGTTTAACAATGCCATAATCTTCATCAAATATTTCTTCTTCTCGTGGAATTGGATGACGAGATAGATAATCAGCTAAACAATTATTTTGACCTTTAATATGATTAATTTTGCCGATATTAAATTCTTGTAATAATATTGATATTCGATCAACTCTTCGATTTTTCACTGATGACGTCATCATGTTACATAACGGACAATGATCTGTATAAATAATAATTGATCTTCCCAACAAATATGGTCGCATACGTTGAAAGCACATCCATATTGCTAAAGCTTCTAATTCAATTGGATCATATCTTCGTTGACTAGATGATGTCATTTGAGAATGATAGTAAAGATTTTTAATTTCACCATTAATATGTTGTTGTAATGTCCCTCCAATACCAACTTTTGATGCATCTGTTGTCAAAATAAC